TCATGGAATTAACTGACATAATCATGAAGCATGCAAATGATTATTAGATAGAAAACAGAGTATCTCTCTCTTTGCCGACACAGGAAATCAATATTACAAAGTTCAGAAGCCGTCATTATCGATAATCCTACGTTCTCGACAGACATGTCGTGCTGGAATTTTAGAGAACTTTGATTGTTAGTTGCAAGCTTCATAATCTTGCTGCTTTAGCTTTTGATGTTTGAATCCGTCTGCGACAACTCTGCGGTCAATCACATCGAGACGATATTCGGACGAAACGAATCGACAAACTAATATACGGAGATGAACATTAAGGCAAGAAGGAATATCATGAAGATGGTGGTAGCGGGAGTGTTGTACATTCTCATCTGCAATGTCGGATACGGTGAGAGCCACGAAATTGATGAAATTGTTAGGAATTTAATTCTTGATGTGACCAACACGATGTATCACGCTAGATTCAGTGTGACTGCGTTTCTGTGCTCAACTACAGGTGATGATGATATGACCCCGCGTTGATTAACTACTAAAGACTTGGCTTGTCGGATTTCTGTTTCAGATGATCTTAACAATTTTTCAGAATTCCTTTCTAAAAATTATAAGCTGCACACTATACTCATGCTTTCGAAGGACTATTTTCTGACTTTAAATGATTTCGAGTTGAGCCACACTAATTTTTACGTATTTGATTTGGACTGTTCTGCATCTCACGAGTTGCTTATTGAGGTAGTGGTCTTGAAGATTTGAGAAGAAATTCTATGACCGATCAATTCTGATGTGTTCAGGTGAATGAAAAAGGGATGTTTAGTGCCCCCGGAAAATGGTTGATGCTCCAAGATTCTCGATTATCAAGAACCTCAATCAATGAGACCCATCTAAAAAACATATTCGGTAATCTTAGTATCTTCCCCGACAGCGAAGTAACCATAGCCCTGAGAATCGAAGACACTGCTGTAAAATTACTATCAATATATCGTCCGAATCTCATCGCTGACTTGACATTTGAAGACCGAGGGATGTGGAACCAGGAAAAGGGCATTCAGCTTCAAAATAATGACGAATCATCAAGGAGAAGAACAAATATCATGCAGCTGCCGTTGAGAGCAGCTGCGGTGGTAAGTTCAACAATCTCTCAAAATTGGCAATATATGATCTCCGCTGATTATGTATTACAGATCACACATCCGAATACGATGAATCATTGGGAAGACTGCCAGGAAAAAAGAGTGGATGCTGTTTCCAAAGTTGGCTATGCCTTCACCAAGCTGTTGGCGGCTCGCATGAACACCACGTAAGTTTCGTTATGATTCATTCTTTCTTATATCGATTGGTCAAAGGAGTTGAGAAGCTGCTGAGATTCAGGGTGAACTTCACTTTCACACCGAGTTGGGGGTATAAGTCACCGAATGGAACGTGGGATGGAATAGTTGCTGGACTCATTAGGGATGAAATAGATTTGGGTGGGACTGGCATGTTCATCACTGAGCATCGCATTGGAGTTATCAGTTACATCAATCTATACACACCGAGTAGGTACGACAATTATGAGATAAAAAATTATCATCTTACCTGTTTAATCCTCTTGCCAAACAGCATTCCTTTTTTCAAACTACAGCGAATTTTTCCTGATTCAGGGTAAGATTCGTTTTTCGGAGGCCGCCTCTGTCGTACGTCAGCAATCTCTTCGTCCTGCCTTTCGCCCGCAACGTTTGGATCGCAACTACACTCTTCTGCAGCTTTGGTTACATCATACTCTACTTGAGTATGGCTCA